TGAGTCAAGCATACGCTTGAAGACGTTACGCTTGAAAACAAGCATACTCTGGAAATTTCCCCATGCATTTAGATGGGGGAAATCTTGGCGGATGAGCTTGTTACGCTTGGTTTCAAGCGTAAACTGATTACGCTTGAAAACAGAGGGTAATGCTCCGCTTTAGTTTTACCAGTGAATTTAGTGCAAATTTCAAATTTGAAATGTTTAACAACGAAGGCTTTAACTCCCGACCGAGCTTTGGAAGGCACGTTCGGTTCCAGGCGTTTCCATTCAATTTTTTTAACACTGTCGCACAAGGCTCACGGCTCCCGGCCCGTCCCCGCGAAAACAATATTCTCCCATTATTTGTGCTCCTCTCGCAATAAGTGCGCTGCCGTCGTTTTGGAGGTGGGCAAGCAAGCATTGTCGTGTTTTTACGCCCGACTCGCCTTCGCACACAACTTAATTTTAACGTTTTTTTATGAGGGAATTGTTTACCTTTGGTGGCAATGCTATGAAGGTTGCGGGTCACACCGGGAGGCGCGGTTCATGGACGCGGGACGCTAACGAACGCCTTCACTGTGGCATGGCCCTCAAAGCGCTTTCGGACCGAACGGAGAGAGAGAGAGAGAGAGAGAGAGAGAGAGAGAGAGAGAGAGAGAGAGAGAGAGAGAGAGAGAGAGGAGAGAGAGAGAGAGAGAGAAAGAGAGAGCGAGAAAGAGAGAGAGAGAGAGAGAGAGAGAGAGAGAGAGAGAGAGAGAGAGAGAGAGAGAGAGAGAGAGAGAGAGAGACGCGGAGCGACAGGATGCCCGCGCCAGGAGTTTGAATGCTTGTTATTTTGCCAGCTGCCCGCGAGGATTACACCGCAACTGTGATTACAGTCCGCCTGGCTTTCGGGAGGAAGCGCTTTCGTTTTAATGATTATTGCGGAGAAAGGACGGCCTTCATCAAAAGGCGCGCCGCTTTCGCGGGTTTTTCCGGTGGCGTCTCGCTTTCCCAGAATCGCACTTTTCTTCCTCACTGGAAGAAAATTGAGACAACGCTCTAAATTCCTGATGAAATTTGAGGTGTCTTGACGTGAACTCAGAGACAGTAGGAAGCGGTAGGGAGCAAAACTTGTCCATGAAAGGAATCTTGTTTGCATTTTCATTGTAAGAAAAACTTTCAAAAATTTAAATCAAAAGAAAAACTACGATCGTATTATGCTTGCGCCATTATCTACTTTGAATTTTGTTGATATTTCTTCGTTAAGAAATTTAGATTGCAACTACTTACGGTAAAAGTGAGGTGGATCGGGTGCCAAAGGGACGTGTGAGTTTCGACCTCATCGCGTCGAGGCTGTACAGTACGGGGGTGGGAAGCCAGTTTGGGAATGTGGCGTGTCGTCGTACCGTGCACGGAACATGCTCCCCACGGTTCTCGCGTCATTTGTGCTTCCATGCCTCAAAAATGTTTGAATCTCGGGTCCACAGCCAAGCACTCCGCGAAAAATTACTTCAAGTTTTACTTCATCTTTCCCACTGGCAGTCACTCCACGTGGAATTCCCCCCACCGGCGCTTCGCCATCGCCACCAATCGCTCCACAATGAAATAATATTGTGCAGCTGGTCGCAAGTTTCTCCGACATAATGGCAATTTTTCCCTCCCCCCGGCATTTTCCCATTTCCCCCTCCGTCCTTCCTGCTTCCTTCTTTGATTCCCTCCGAACGCCGCACGCAGACTCGCGGCGTAAACAATTCCACACCGCGTAGCAGTGTAGTGGCGAAGCGGCGCGTCTGTGTGTGTGTGTGTGTATGTGTAGGTGTGTGTGTATGTGTGTGTGTGTGTGTGTGAGTGGTGTGTGTGTGTGTGTGTGTGAGAGAGAGAGAGAGAGAGAGAGAGAGAGAGAGAGAGAGAGAGAGAGAGAGAGAGAGAAAGAGAGAGGGAGAGAGAGTGTGTGTACTGTGTATCTCCGCAGGAAGTTTTGCGGCCCAAAAATACGAGGCTCAGAGTGGAGCGCTGCGGATATTTCCGGTGGCTGTTGTTTCAGTGAGCGCTGTCACCGTCTGGAGCACGGCAAGCCTTGGTCAGGCCTTGGTCAGGCCTTGGTCAGGCCTTGGCCTGCACGTTGATCCCGAACGGTGCCTGGTCTCTCTGTCTCTCTCGCAAGCTGACCGAGTGCCCGTGGGAGCGAGAGAGACAGAAAGCACGGTCCGGAGTGAGCCTGCTGCCGAGCCTGGTGACAACGGCGACTTAAACCGAATTGCTTTACGGCAACAATCTCGTGGTCGCGTTGGCGCCCTTTACTCTCAGCCCTTCGGAGAAAGGCGGTTTTAATTTCATTCTGCGGCGGAGCCACACTGTGAAGATTTTCGGTGTCACGTGTTGACTATTTCATGGCCAATTTGCCTTATCATTAAGAATGCAGTCAAACCAGTCAATGACTCTTTTTTCACCCCCGCGAAATTTGTGAGGAAAATGTCATCAATTAGTAATGAAGGTGTTATCAATTTGTGATGAAAATGTCATCAATTTGTGATGAATTGTCATCCTCAATTTCACTATAAAGTGAGAGCAAATTTGACAGTGCAAGGGGGACGCGGCGTCCCCGAAGGACGCCCGATGTCCAAGAGGGCCTGGAGGTCCTGGAGGTCAGCGGGACGAAACGAAAAGGGAGCATAGAAGACTAACTAACCCCTTTCTGCCCACACGATTAATGGGCACGCGTGGCCTGATAAGGGCATCGGGCCAGGTCGCTCTGTCTCTCTCGCGCCCACGGAGCGTCACGTAGGGGTCGAGACAAAGCGTTGGGCCAGCCAATGGGCGGGCTCGGGTAGGAGGAAGACCTCCACCAAATGGTTTTGTCACGCAATGAAGAGCTCCTTCGCCGTCGCCACCCCTCACACTGGGCCTTTTGAGGCAGCCTGATTCCGAAAAGTGATTTTCGGCTCTCTGTCTCCCTTGCACGCGAGTTCCGTGCGGCAGGGGTGTGAGAGAGACAGACTGAAGCGTCTGCTGGCCACGCGGCGCATGTCTCCCTTTGGCCGCCCCTGTACACTGATACAGAGTCGTTCGCGTCGCTCTGTCTCTCTTGCACTCATGCGGCGCTCCGCACATGTGCGAGGGAGACGGAGCGACGAGATCGACTCTCGGAATCAGTCCGCTGCAAACCGCCCTGACAGTGCCGCGTGCCGCCGGGTGAGCCACCCGTGCTGGGTGCATTGAAGCGCGCATCAAGTCGCACAGCAGGGCAAAAGCAAACCCGCCGCAGCGGTCCCTACGTCGCTCTCGGTCTCTCTTGAACCCTTCCGGAGCGCCGTCCACGAGTGCGACAAGGACACAGCGACGGCAGAGCTGCCCCGAATCAGTCTACCGGCTGGAGTGAGAATAGACAGAGTCAGTGTAGCGGAATGCTGGTAAAGACACAAGGGGTTGTACGCGCGGAGCACGGAGCGCGCGCAGGGTGAGAGTGAGAGAGAGAGAGAGACCGACAGAGAGAGGAGTGACATAAAGAGAGTGAGAGTGAGAGAGAGAGAGAGAGAGAGAGAGAGAGAGAGAGAGAGAGAGAGAGAGAGAGAGAGAGAGAGAGAGAGGGAGAGAGAGGGAGAGAAAGACAGAGAGCGAGTGAGAGAGAGAGACAGAGAGAGAGACTGAAGCCGCGGGGGGTGCACGCGTTGTTGTGACGCTGCCCGACGCTGGTCCGATGCGATGCGTGTTCTGTGCGCTGCTAGAAACAGGCATGGCGGAATCGATAATCCCCGGGCCTTGGGGCCTCATCCTCATCCCTGCGAGTGCAGGTGGCGCTCCTCCGCGCCGCTGCTTCTGCCGGCCGATGATTCCGAAACGGTCGTCGTTTCGTCGCTCTCTCTCTCTCTCTCTCTCTCCTCTCTCTCTCTCTCTCTCTCTCTCTCTCTCTCTCTCTCTCGCACCGCGACGGGCCGGCCCGCGAGTGCGCCAGAGACAGCGCCACGGAGCAACGACTGTTCGGGATCGGTCTGTGTTTGCACTACTTCATCTTTCCTCACCCTTTCAGCGTGGCTGGCCCGGCCAGCGCGGCCAGCAGCCCGGCCGGCCGTTCGCAACGTAAACAAATACGCGCCGCGGCACGGCACGGCACGGCACTGGCGAGAGGGAGGTTGCGAAAAACAAGCGACACTCGGCCAGGCAGGCAGCAGGGCAGCGGCGAGCAGCAAGGGCAAGTCCATTACCGTGGTCACGGCCAAGGCTGCCAAACTCCCAGCAGCAGACTGATTCCGAGAGTCGTTATTCGTCGCTCTGTCTCTCTCGCACCTTTACGGCACGCCCCATGAGTGCGAGAGAGACAGAGCGACGGAATCGACTCCGCGGAATCA